CTATATATATATATATATATAGTATATATATATATATATATATATATATATATATATATATATATATATATATATATATATATATATATATATATATATATATATATATATATATATATATATATATATATATATATATATATATATATATATATATATATATATATATATATATATGATGACCCTATATTCCGGGATATCATATATATATATATATATATATATATATATATATATATATATATATATATATATATATGTAATGTATAGACGTAAATAGATAGTAAGTATACGTTTTTTGACTCTTGTGTTTATTGAATGCTCTAGGCTATTTGATTTACAATAAGATTAGTTTTATAAAATTTACGATTTCGGTATTATATTTCACCACGTCCAATCCAATATCTTGGAAATGATGCATTTCGGGACCTATATTTATATGAACCTCTTTTTTTTATTGTTGATTATTGACATAACAATGAAAAATTCAAAAGTACATTCAAATCAATAATAATTTTTTTAGAAAAACCTGTTAGGAATAAAAGAAATCTCCAGAAAAGGCGTTTTGCAAAAATAAAAAGAATTCTCAGATAAATTACCTTATCTGAAAAAAGTTATCGCACCTTGAACAAATTTCAAATGTCAGGTGAAAAATGTATTCAAGATATTATTTTCACTCCGAATTATTTAGACGCTAATTTTTAAATGCGCCATTATCAACTTTGCGAAAAATAAATGCAAAAACGGCAAACGGGAAAGCGAATTAAACGCTTTATTTCCAAATGCGGTTCTTTAGCGCGGAAAGAACCGAAAAAGCGGAGTTGCGAACGAATCGAAAGGCTTAAAACCATCCAGAATGGAAAATGGGGGCGCCAACTGAAACCCATTAATTAAAAATTAAATTTGAAATATAGTAAAACGGAGGACAGGAAAAAGTTCCGGATCACGATTTTTGTATCCACTTTTAATCCTGCCGTACGACTATAAATTAACCTTTTGTGACGTGGATTTAGCGAGTTTGAATAACTAATTCCATCGCCAATCCGGTCCTATTAATGGATATCTTTTGTGTGTTTGCTTTTGTTCTTTGTCGTATTGTTTAAAATATTTCTATGATTTCATTAAATTCAATATTGCCACGCTGTCACCGAAAGAATAAATAATACACAATTATAATTGTTATTTATAATTTAGATCATATTCCTGATGAGTCATTTTTCATTCCATTTTTTAATGATCCTTTCTATTCCACTAAACTAATTCTTCTGACCTGTATACTCATTGGGATGAACTCCAGATGAAACATGTTCCGCCTTTGGGTTTTTATAATTTCAAAACTACACATCTGTCCCAAAAAGTGTTTTAAATAACGTAAGAGCCCTTTTAATAAGTAAATTAAAATAGAAAAACAAATTTCTTTTAAACGAAATTCCAATTTTCAAAAATCAAATTCCAAAATATTAAACTAACTTTTCAAATTAGCTGACTCAAGATACAAAAAAGAAAAATTCAAGATAAATTTTATGGAACGCTTAAAACATCTAGTTCATTCAGTTCAGTATTTTTTAAATATGACCATTAAGAAATGTCCCATCATTTGCAGGTAAGTAGAGTTCTTCAAGCAATGTTTTTTAAGATTGTGTGTTTGACTAAGAGAGCTTCAGAAACTATACTGTGGCAGGAGAAAATCTTTTGAAAATATTCAATTTGAAACTGTTCCTTCCAAAATTGTTCAACATTTTTGCTAACACTAATTTTAAAAAGTTTGTTTAATTATTTTTTTGAAATGAATTAAAACGCAGTGCAATGGGTTATGAATTGATCTGCCACTTGATTTTCTAAAATCTATGTAAAATATAAGAATTATATAAGATGACTGTAACAATTTATTTTCAACAGACTAAACAAATAGAATGTTTACCACTTGGGCTTCGGTACAAATTTTTCCTGCCTGCATCAGTTCGTCGCAATTCGAATAACTTATGACTATTATGGCAATAGCGTATCATTTCTCGTTCCTCTCTTTGATTGAATATGACTCAACATATTCCTGTTAGATAGCAAATGTTTGCAACTGTATCTTATTCGTTCCCTTTGTCATACTTACCATGGCAATAGTGCATTAATTAATATATGACTCCAGTTTTAACTAACCACCACCTATTTCGTTTCCAGTCAAATTCATCTGATTGCTCTCTGGGAAGTACAGCAGGGCTCTTAATCCCTTTCACTTACATTTTTATAATAGCAATATAGCAAAATTTCACTATATTTACCATACTGACTAAATTAAGATCTACGATGTCATTAAAATTATTTTAAATCATTGGTCTTACAGCAACACGCAACCTCTTAATAACAAAGGATTCCGACCAAATCGATGAAGGTTGCTTACTTTTACGTCAACTAATTAACATATTTGTTAATTTTTTAGTTAATTTTACATGAAGTAACCAAAACCTAAGACATACATAAGCTAACGCAATTGAATTGCTCAATTAACAAAATCGGGATTTACAAATATACAGTTTCAGCTTTTGCCTGTTTTATTAGAAATAGCACTGTAAATAGAATCTAAAAGCAAAAATTAAAATCCGGTGAAAGGTAGTAGATGTCGTTCCACATCTCCATCGGTTGGTAATTAGGTATTTTACAGACGGGAGTAGAAAAATATAGTTTTCGCCGGTTTTATTATAAATATCAACGTAAATCGAATCTAAAATCTGATATGTTAAAATCCGGTGAAAAATTGTTGTAGACGTCGTTCCACATAGCCATTTCAATAACTTTCTTGGCGAGTTTCACTTCAAGATCCTTATCGATGTACAGGTACGGAATAAACGATCCTGATACTTGAGGCCACTTTAAGTTGATCAGCGGATCCGATTCATCAGGGGTAGGATTCCTAAACATATCAAATCGAACTAGCTATAATTATAAACATATAACCATACAGACCAATAATAAACTCAATAATAGCGAGAGGTATACTCACAGCGTCTTCGCGAAGTTGGTCCAAAGTCTCCTAATCTGTTACTCATTTGGAATTCGTTAGGGGTAGTCAGAGGCAAAGTTGAGTTAAAGAGGTAGACTATATTTTCTGCGTATCCTACACTGCCACTGCCCAAAATAGATATTAATTTTAGAACGATTGCATCATAAAAAACTACACATACGGGATTTAGTGTGCAGCAGACCAATGTTTCCCGAAAAAGAGAATTAATTGAAATACACTGGTGAGCAGTTGGACTGGAGTTCAGCTGGTTTTAGGGATGACCTTCTGAACAAGTTATCGCTGGTGTACTGAAAACATCGATACTTTACGTAAAACTAGATTGATATAACCAAACTTTAACTCCAAGTCCGAAGTAAAAGATTATTTTTAAGTAAAATTTATTAACACTGGGTATAATTCAAATTCCAGAAGTCACGAACATACATACTTCATGTTTCGTGGTGATACCACCAATACCACCAAATTATATTGAGTTTACCATTTTGACTATTAATATTGGGTTGGGTTTAATAATTGTTCATAATTGTTAGTATTGTAAAATTTATTTTTGTTTGGCTGGGGACTAGAAGATGAAGTTTGCAAACGAATCTAGGGCAACGTCAGTATTTTTTCCTGCAGGTTTGCTCCCGGCTGAGGTGTGAGATTATAAGGTACTAAAGCGACGGGGTTCAGGTCGTAACAAATGGCTACATTCGTTAATAGGATTGGAAGAGTTTCCTAAATAAAGCTGCCTTACGTGCCAGATAAAAAAATATTCCTGAACAAAGGCGCCGTAAATGTAACTTTCTTTTGTAATTATTTATTTTTTTCCGCTTACCGGAAAATGCACTCTTTATTGCGTCAGTTGGTTGACTTTGGAGGAAGTCGTGTCTCTCGACCGTCGTGTTATGTGTAATGGACGGATCTTTAGCAATGTCGTAAGCATTTTTTCTCGGATCGGTTTGGGTCGTCAGGAGAAATTTAGACAAAGAACAACCCCTTTGACAAATTTCCGCAAAATAGTCAACCAAAAATAAACCATCGGAGCTACTTAAAATCCGACCAAACCAGTGCTTTTATAAAGTCAGACTATCTTCGTCGGTTCGCGTTCCTTTCACTTCGGAAAATACCAAAGTGGGTACAAATGGGTTCTCAATATTAGGAATGACAGAATTATAACTGTTTAGCTTAGACCGATAAATAATGCAAGTCAAACATAATAATTCAAAACACCCAAAACGAAATATGGGAAAATATCGACCACCTAAAGCTAAGGGCGCCGACATATATAAAACCACTTGTAGAATACTCGAGTAAATGTTAGGTTACTAGCAAAAACTCTTCCAATATCTGAACCTACTTGCAATATAATTCACTGGAGTAACTTAAACAATATTATTGAACAAAGACACCATAAACGTAACCTTTTTTGGAATGATATTTCTTTTTCCGCTTACCGGTGGATGAGCGGCAAATGCACTGTTTATTGGATCAGTCGGTTGACTTTGGAGGAAGTCGCGTATCTCGACCGTTGAGTTTTGATCTATAAAAGACGGATCTATGGATTTAACAATGCCGTAAGCAACTTTTCTCGGATCGACTTGGGTCGTCAGTAGAAACTTAGACAAAGAACAACCGCTTTGGCAAATTGCGGCTCTGTACAACTCAGCTAGATGTGCTCCGATGGACATTCCTCCCGCGCTTTGGCAGAAAATGGTCACCTTTTCCGGATCCTCACCGAAATATTCGATATTCTTTTGAGTCCATTTCATGGCCATCAGTTGATTCTTGAAAGCAGCTTTGCCCAAAACAGCATCGTCTGCAGTGGATAGGAAACCGGACACACCAATTCGATAGTTTGATTCGACTACTATGACTTCTTCGTCTACAAAAGTAGTCTCAGTTGCACAACCACGATTGAATCCTCCACCGTATATCCAGAACATAACCGGCAGTTTTTCTGTAAACTGAAAGTTACATGTTTCAATGCAAACTTGTCGGTTTATAAATCAGTATTAAAAATGTATAAATTCCATAAAACCTTCAATACTCAAATGGTGTGTGTTTGTATGATTTAACTTACATTTCGAGCAGGAGTATAAACACTAAGGTATAAACAATCCTCGCTTTGCAGTACAGATTCAAATATGCCACTACAGCATTCCTTTATTTCAGTTGCGCCCAATGTATCATTCCACGGGTCACTGGGTACCGGTCCCTATCTAAAGTTCAGTATTAATACCGTTTTTTTTTGTTCCCATTTTACTAAATGTGCGCATAGCTTTTATTAATCTGGAATCACAATGATACTAGTGATGGCTTCGCAAACGGCATTCCTCGGTAGGCGTTAAAGCTCTAATACAAAGTTGTGACTTCAGTCCTCCTAAGAGTTCCATCTGGCAGATCGACGATCAGGTCGGAACGCTGTAAATAAACAACAGGTATACCGTATTCAATAATTAAAAATTGTGTAATTTCATATGATAATGAAGACGCGTTTTCAATTTGATGAAATTGTAAACCTTACATAAACTGAGTCTTAGGAAAACGGCAGCCAATATTTGCGTATTGATAAAATATTTTAAACTTTACAACAAGTAATATTTACCCCAAATGAAATAAATAGAAAACTTATAAGTAATCGATACATGGGAACTTTGATGACTCTGATTCGATGTCCGTTCTGTTTCGTATTTATACAAACCTCAAGTGGTATTTCTAGAGTTATACAGTGGTCCTCGATGACAAGAAAATAATGAAGCCTCGTCTAGACTTTTATATTTGCTATAAACGAAAACAATCTTTCACCATCCAATTTGTTGGAACTCAGTTTGTTACTGGGTGCAAGATTCATCGATGTGGGGGAATTTTTAATTTAACCTCCTATGGGGAGTGTGTTGTCACCTGAAGGATAAAAACGTAGATCACCAACATTGCCAATTTTTCAAAGAAACTTCCAAAGGCTATTGCATTAAATTAAATTAATTAAATTAAATGGAATTTTTCAATATCCTGAAAAAAATTCTCCGTTTAAATTGCATTAGATTTGATCACATTTGTTAAAATTTCAGCCAGTGCATTATGCCTTGTTTTCTTTTTCAGCTAGAATCTTGTAAAATATGTACTGTTTCAGAACAAAGACAAACTAAAATCTTTTTTATTTCATGCTCTTTTCTAAATCTGAATAGAAAGCGATGGAAAATTTTCGGAAAAATATCTGCCAAAAACCCGTTTTAATAAACTTGGAGGTTTAAACAGGGTTTTCGTAGTAAGTCAATCATTCTAGGAGAGAGACGACTGCAACCGTTACCTTTTTGCCTTGCTACCCAATTGCGTTTTTTTGCATATTTGCGAAAACATTATTACTAAAAAAAGATACTCTTTACACTTTCATTAAATAGCCAAATAAAAGTCCAACAACTTACTGGATGCCATTTCGATCGATATGTTCATCAAAAATTTGAGTAGAAGAACTCAAAACTCAAAAATAGTTGAATTTTGAGAAGCATTTCCACTTTACGGGTAGTTATTAATGTCTAATTGTTTACCCAGTAAAATTGTAATATACGAGGGCAGCGCCAAAATTTGCCGGCCTGAATATAAAAGAAACAAATTAGAGTAACATTTTTTTATTATTTTTCAATATAATACCCCTTAACTTCAATACACTTATTACATCTCTTTATTAACAACTCAATCCCTTTAAAAAAATATTCTTTTGATTTGTCTGCAAAATGAACTAAAACGGCCCCTTTTAACTCAACTTCGTCGTTAAACCGCCGTCCACGTAAGTCCTTTTTCAAATATCCAAACAAACAATAGTCGCTGGGGGCCATTATCGTGTAAAAGACGCACGCCTCTGGTCAGTTTTCCTCGTTTTACACGTATGCAGTCTCGCAATTTATGTAATAATGTTGCGTAATATTCACCATTGACAGTGGTATTAGTTTCTTTCTATCAAAAGAATTCCTTCAAAATCCCAAAAGATGCTGGCTATCATCTTTTTTGTTGACCGGCAGACTCTGAATTTTCTTGGAGGTGCTTCACCCTTACGACGCCACTCCATTGATTCTTTTTTCGATAGAGGGCCATAGTTTCATCTCCCGTCACAATAATTTCTATCACAGGCTTCGGTTCAGATCCAAAAAAACGACGGCGCACACTCGACACGGCGTTGTTTTTGAATTGCCGAAAAGTTTTTAGGAACCCATCTTGCACTAATCTTATGCATACCTAAATGATCATGCAGGGTTCCACGAACACTTGTATCAGAAAGCTTAGTAATTTCTGAGATTTCCTTGACCCTTAAACGTCGATCACTCAATACCACCTCTTCCACAATCGCAAGAATATCTTCCGTTATGACCTCCACTGGTCGACCAGTTCACCATCCAGCCTTTCTTTAATAATGTTAGGTGCTAACCCTTCTTTTGTCAAAAACTTTATGCCTGCTCTATACCCAATTTACGTTATGTGTGACATTTTTTCGGACACGTCTTGTTTAAAATGCTGTCAATAAAAAACTATTTGACGAAATACTTCAAATTTTTTTTCGTAGCCTACTAAGATATATATTTAAAAAAAGACAAAGTTTTATCGTGATACTGGAGCTGCATCTACGTCAGGTAGGGAAATTTTGGCGCTAACCCCGCACGTGCGAAAAGATATTTAAAATCAAAATGAAATTGTAATATATTTGCGAAAAGATATTTAAAGTCAAAATTAAATTTCGTAATTTATTTTTATTACTTTTTTCACAGCACCTTCGAAAGGCATAAAATTACCTGACATTATTATTACATTTTAACACCCTGGTCCATCTTCAAATATATCTAAATTAGGGAGTTATTTTATTCCTGGTGCCTTATTATGTCCAGCCAATGAAGTGGCTGCTTGCTTTATTATATAAATTGGCCTCTAAAAATATAACTTTTATTTAAACTTCTCCTTAAAATATTTCCACTTAAAATGTTTTCTTAATCAACATAAATAAAATTTACAATGCTTTTCAAGGGTACAAAGTTAATTGACATCATTAGTACCTTTCAACACCATTGTCCATGTTCAAATATATATGAATTAGGAAGTTCTTTTATTCGGGCCTTATTAAGGCTGCTTCTTCTGCCGTTGATAAATAGTGAATTATGTTGCAGAAACTGCACTTTGCCATGAGTTAATGATGTTGGATTTCACAAATCTCACGCAACCGCTGGTGGGTCTACATTTCAGAAGTGTTAATTAGAAATACGCTTCCATGAATATTCAAATGATCCGTGGATACGGGACGCGAAAGAACATAGCAAAACATGGCTTTCGCCGTACCAAAAACACCGTCACTAGCTGGGGCTAATACAATTATTCAAAGTAGAGATATTTAAATAAAGCGCTTTATGCAAGCGAAATGTATATTAAATCCTTTGAATACGGGGCGGTTCGGTTTCGCGGGCCGCTTTGAGACCCGAAGCTTACAATTTGCTTTTCAAATTTTCCCCTAAAATAAATCGGGGCGAGAATAGAGAATAAGGACATTTCAAACTTGGAACCTGTTTCTGAAGTTTTTACGATCGAATCTTTTAGTACATTTTAGAAAATTGAGTGGACAGTGGGCCTGGGAATGCGCAAATATTAATTGTTTATATTAATTATAAAAAAACATACATTTTCAGGATTTTCTGATTTAATCATCTTGAGTTCTTTTAATGCATCCACGTTTCGTCTGTTAGATATTGCACCAAATCTGCAAATAAAATTTACTACATTGAACCACTTCTTTTTATTTCCTGCATCTGATTTTTCTAATTGTTTTGTCATATAAAAATGTGTGCCGGTCAACAATTTAATATAAAGTTTATTTTTATTTTATCAGAAAATATACGAGCTTCTCTTTATTTCTTATGATTATATTTGTCTACGAATTGTGATTAAGTTTTCAATTCTCTACAAGTTCAAGCTTATGTTTATACTCTTTTCTCAAATTTGAGTATTTATTCAGTAGCTTTGTTTTCCCCTATTATTTTATTAAAACATGCTTAACCAATAACGCTTTCATTTAAAATTCTCTAAACTTTTATAGTTGCTTGTATGTAGATAGAACAAATTACCAAATAATCAAGCAAAATTTTACGCATTCCTAAAATCTGTTATCTATTAGTTCCGGCTATTTTGTCTAATGAATAATGAATTTTGCAATTATAAATGGCGTTCAAAAAGTATTTGACAACCCTTTGCTGGCGATTCATCATCCAAAAACGTGTTTATATAAAATCGGTCCGATTTGGTTAAAATGTGCCAACTTCATTAATTGTATATAAACAAAGGTGTAATTTTTCTTTAAGTAGATTTCAATTGTCAAGTCGAATGGCAAGGTATCTTAACGAAAATTGTCTTGAAATAAATGTATAGATTAAATTTGAAATTTATTAAAATGGACGAAAGAAAAAAATTCCGTATCACGATTTTCGTACCCACTTTTAATCCTACTGTACGACTATAAATGAACATTTTAGGACGTGGATTTATCGAGTTTGAATTATTCCCTGACCAATCCGTTCCAATTAATGGATTTATTTTGTATGTTTGCTTTTGCTCTTTGCCGTATTGTTTTAAATATGTCACCGCTGTCATCGAACGAATAAATAATGTACGCAAGAGCCCTTTCAATAAATGTATTTAATTATAAAGTCGATTGTCTTTTAAGCGAACTGATAACGCAATGGATTCTGATTTGATCTGTCTCTTGATTGATTGATTGATAATGATTGATAAAAGATAGCGCAAACCGTGTGAGAAGAAGTCTTTCAGAAAATACTTCTCTTTGATTGAATTGTTCTCAACATTTTTTGTTATCGTTTGTCGTTCATTTCCCTTTGCCGTAATTACTATGGCAATAGTGCATTCTATTTAATGTCACTCCAGCAGGTACCGAAGGTCTCTGCCCTTAATCCCTTTCACTTTAATTTTTATATTAACAACATAGCAAAATTTCATTATATTTACCATACTGACGATGTCAGGATCTAAGCCGTCATTAAAATTATTCTAATCTATGAAAGTTGCTTACTTTTACCCGAATTAATTAACATGGTTTTAAATGTTTAAAGCCAATTTTACTTGAACTAACCAAAACCTATGATTTGCATAAACAAACCCAATTGAACGAAATGCTCAATTTACAAAAAGGGGAAGTGCAATAGTATGTTATGCAACAATGCGGTAAACGGCATTTGACTACTACTACTTTTTCTACGACCGTTAGTTTTTGGGTCCATTTTGGCAAAACAAACACGAATACATTCACTGACATGACCGTCAGACATGACAAACGTCAAAGCGGGGGAAATATCTCCGAAAACATCCGATTACTCCCGAATCCGTGCGGTAAAATCCCGGAAATGTCCGAAGTGGCTCGGATTCATGGAAAACGAAACTGACGTGGTAAAGAAAAATATAGTTTTTGCCGGTTTTATTAAAAATATCAATATCAATGTAAATGAAATCTAAAAGCTGATATGTTAAAATCCGGTGAAAGGTTGCTCTCCATAATTGTAGTAGACGTCGTTCCACATCGCCATTTCAATAACTTTCTTGCCGGGTTTCACTTCAAGATCCTTATCGATATCGAGGTATGGAATAAACGATCCTGATACTTGAGGCCACTTTAAATTGAGCAACGGATCCGACTCATCAGGAGTAGGATTCCTAAATATATCAAGGTGTATTAGCTACAGTTATAACAGCATAACTATCTAGATCAACAACAAACTGAATTGCAGTGATAGCTATACTCACAGCGTCTTAGCGAAGTTGGTCCAAAGTCTCACTAATCTGTTTCTTGTTTGGAATTCGTCAGCGGTGGACAGGGGCAAAGTCGAGTTAAAGAGGTAGACTACATCTTCGGCGTGTCCTACACTACCAGCGCCTGAAAATAGATGTGTAGTATTTATTTTAGAACGATTGTATCATAAGAAACTACATACCCGGGATTTTTGTGTGCAGCAGACCAATGTTTCCCGAAAAAGAGAATTGATAGAAATAGACTGGTGAGTAGTTGGATTGAAGTTCAGCTTGTTTTAGGGATGACCTTACGAACAAGTTATCGCTGGTGTACTGAAATCATCAATAATTTACACAAGACTCGCTTGGAATAACCAAAACAATACTTTTAACTAAAATTTATTAACACTAGTTACAATTTAAATTGTAGAAGTGACGAACCTACGTACTTTATGTTTCGTGGTAATACCACGTAATATGACGAAGACGCAATGACTCGGCCATTCAAATTTTATTTACTTTCAGATTTTGACTATAAAGTTAGAGGGATGGGTTTTATAAATGTTCAGAATTGCAGAAGTTGATTTTTGTGTCAGGTAATTCCTTCTGTTAATTTCTGTTTGGCTGAAGACTATTTCTATTTGCTCCACTCAAACGTCTAT